TTACTGGGCCCCTGCAACTGGAGAGGGAACTCTAGACCCTGAGTGTGTTTGTTTGTGGGCAGAGGGATGGACACAGCATGAGGAGGGTGTGCACAGGGCAGGAGGATTGGGCAGAAAAGGCTGCCCAAACCGACCTCCATCCAGTTCAGAACTGCCAAGACCACCCTCAACCTGACACCTCACCATGGCCTCTGCTTGGAAGATCATTGGGTGCTGGCAGAGGGCTGGCATCAGGCGTGCAATCTCTCTTCCCTTTCTACACCATAGGATGAGGTGGCAGCTTTGGTCAGCTGGACAGTGGGTGACAGCTTCCTCATTGAACCTGGTGCTAGGCCATTATCTAAGACATTGAACCAACCTAACTAGGATAGGGGAAACACCCATGCCAACTCGGGTTTGAAGGATGGCTCCAGTGGCACAGCGGTTAAGTACTGTGTGAAGGGAGCCAGATCCATGGCCTACCTCAGTTCAAATCCTGGCTCTGGCAGCTTGAACAACATACTGGGCACATATACATGGTACTCAAAATCCTCATGGGATGGAGAAATAGAGCATCAAAGATTATGGCATGACTATACCTCACTGGGGGAAGAAGTATATTCTCTCTCCTCTTTCTGGAGAGTTTTTGCAACTAGTGGGGGGGGAAAAGCTGATTTGAAATTTAGGTTATTTAAAACAGTGATTTCTCTCGTTTCCATTCCTTTATGTTTTATAGAGTTCTTTATGAATAGTTATAAAAATTATAAAGCTCATTAGCACAAAAAAGTAAAAGTACTTCTAATGTTACAGTAGCTATAATTATTTTGTCCAACTATATGGCTTTAATGACTTTAATTCCTTTTTCTTATTTCTGTACTTCAGGAGTGTCCCAACCCGGGGGACAGTCGAACATGTTTCCTGAGGGAAGGAGTGAGAAGATGGGACGAACGGCACAGTGTTACAACACGGAGATGACGCAATGTTACAACTCTTCAGGGTCGTCCAGAGACAACGTAGTGTCACAACTCTTCAGGGTCATCTGGAGACAAGGACGCGGTGTTACAAGTCTTCAGGGTCTTCAGGGTCGTCTGGCGATTATGGGCCAGAGATCGTGGTTATATACATGTTGGTGGGCAGTGATTGGTTAAATGAAGGATTGTAAAAGGTGGGTTATGATTGGTTGCTTTTGTGGACCAATCATGAGATGCCAGATATGCAAATCTGAGGAATTCTAAGCTCACCGATTTGCTATGGGAAGTGGCCAATCAGAGTATGGTTTTGAAGGTGAGGTTTTGAAAGGGAGCCAATCATGGCCTTTGTCATTGTGTAATTGCTCTCTGAGAAACCGGTGATATTTGGTGCGCAGCCTCCCACACAGGAGACGGGATATGTTCAAAATGTGATTTTTGTAAAACATTGTTTTGTTTTGAGGAAAACTTTCAAAATAAACATCATTCATCATATTTGTAGACATGAATGAGGGTTAGTCTTAGCATCCATGAAAATCGATTAACAGGGGACCAGCAAGTGGCATGGAGATTAAGGTGCTGGATCCCACATGACCAACTACAAGGTTTGAGTCCCAAACCAGGTGACTTAAAAAACGTGCTGGGTTTGTGTGATGTGCATTCACAAAGTACCAAGAGGAGAATGGAGGAGAAGGGATTGCAGTGGGGAATGGCCATCCCCCTGGGGGTGATTTTTCACATTCCCTCTCTTTCTCTGCCTCTCTCTGGTCAACGTGACCTGCAACAGAACCAAACCAAACCAAAGCTGTTTAGCCAGCCCAGCGATGTGACACGGTGGTAACATAAGGTTGGAGGCCTCATGGCTCATTGTGGGTTCAGATCCCTGAGTCAACCTGAAAACACATTGGTGCGTGCAAGAGTCCAGGATCCAGAGGAGCTGGAGGGTCTTAAAGAGGAGCTCACAGGCGACAAGACCCTGTCGAGTGTACCTCTGTCTCTGTCTCTCCTTCTCTCATGCTCATGCATACATTCTCTAGCTTTCTTTTTTCTTAATGATGACTAGATTGCAGAGGTGGCCAGATCTGGAGCTGGTCCTGTCCAGAGCTGCACTGCTTTGCCTTGTGTGCTGCACACAGTTTGAGAGGAAGGCAGGCCTGGGTATTAATCCTGAAATGAATGCTGAGAGCCCAGGGGCTTCATCCTGGGGCTGGGAGCCCACCCTCTCCATTCCCAGGAATTCTAAGAACAAGCTTTTTCTGAAACCTAGAATAAGATCTCCTTCTTCTTAAATGATGTACCTGCTTCTAAATAACGGCAGTCATATCAGCCGTAACTTATTTCAACCTCACTAGTTGGAGGTGTACAATAATTTACATTCATGTTGTTTAAAAAAGTTTCACAAGAAAGATCAGAGGGAAAAATTTAATGTGTGTAGCAGAAAAACATGTCTTCTAGGATTTTAGAAGCCCTTGTTTGTATATTACTAATTTAATGTGGATTTAAATGACTCTTGTTTGTTTGCTGAATAAATGCGAGTGTCTCTAGGAGGCAGAATTCTACTTTCCTCTTCCATGGTTTTCTATATCGTTTAGACGGTATTATAACTAGATTTTGTTTAAAATATCGAAGGGGATTGAGATATGTTACCCCTAGATATGCCACTTTGGCAGAAGGCAATTGAGAAAAAGTAGACAGGAAAAGCTCTCTGCCCTTCCCCATCTGCCCTAAAGCAGAGCTTCAAATTTCCCTGATGAAGGTGAAGGAGAACAACCTTTCTCACCAGAGAGGGTGCTGAGATGAGTCTGTATAGACAAACCTGGCTAAATAACCCTTATCTTCCATTTGTCTCTCTCATATATTGGCCTTCCCACAATTCACTGCCCCTAGAAGTTCAGATTTCTTTCCCTTTGTCTTGTCACTTTTCCAAAATTTATCACCCTTGCTTAAGATGATATAAAAGCCCTCAGAGTTTAACTGCTTCACATCTTCATTTCTGTTCTATAAAGCCCTCTGAGAACATAAAAATTAAAATAGCAGCATCAGGGGCCAGCAGGTGGTGTAGTGGTTAAGGTGCTGGACTCCCACATGGCCGACCATGATTCGAGTCCCGGACCTGGCAACTTGCTTTCTCGCCTTCACTTTCTCTCTCTCTCTCTTTGTCTGTCTCTGGTCAAATTAAAAATAATCATCATAATAATAGCAAATAAAATAACATAATTCTTTAAAAAATAGCAATATCAAATAGAATGTGTATATGTGTTCTCTGCTAATCCACCTTTTATCAGTCTAATTCACATACCCCAGCTGAACCTAAGAAGGTAGAGGAAGAAAGTTTATTTTCTCCCCTACAATATTTTATAGCTAGGTTAAAAATTAGTATTCCTGTAATGTATTCTCACCTATAAGAATTATTTATGTACTAAATAATTTGGGGAAAGAAACATCCAATGTATCACCATAGCAAGGATCCCCTTGAAAAATTCCTTCTAGAACTATTTGTATTCTCCTAGCAACCCCAAGAATAACCATTTCCTGAATCCGGAGACCAACAGATAAGAGAGATCTCCTAACAAACAAACAAAGACAGATGTGAGTGCTTTTCTTCCTTGAGGGTTTTCTTCCCATTTGCCAAGTGATTCACTGCTTGGCTGTTGTCACCCAGCTGTGCTAATTGGTTGTCATTTGCTGATAGTAGCCAAGCCTTTGTTCTTGATCTTCAATGGGAGAAAATCTGAAAATGTGAGAAGGAAATAGCATAGAGCTTCCTCAGGAAGGAAGGAGTGGGGCTGAGCCACAGCAGTAAGCCACGGAGAGTCATCACCATTCCCTTTGTCATCTTTCGCCTCCTCATTGTCATCCTCTGCCTGCTGGGTACACTGTGCCTGGCGCTGAGGCAGGCGCTTTATATGCCTTATCTTAGAGCCACAGAGGATCAGCTTCCTCCTAGGATTTCACTCCTAGCCAAGACACCAAGAGGACAGTTTCAGGAACAAGCAATGGTGGGTGTGCGAATGTGTGTCTTCTCTCTGGGGAGAGGAACAGATGTCCGCTGGTTACTGGGGCCAAAGAAGATGAACCACTTCAGGGCCAGTTTGAGCTTCTCAGAGAAGATGAAGGAGTCCCTCAATTAGTTTTTTCATTCCTTCAACAAATATTTGGAGCACCTATCATATACAGGCACTGTGCTGGGTGCTAGAATTATGGGAATGAACAGAGACGGTGCTCCCTCAGTAGGAATGGAACCAGCGCTACAATTAGTACATGTGGAGGAAACATTCTAAGATTCTGAGCCCTCTAGACAGGACAAGACAAAACAATCAGAGGACTGTGAGGTGGAAGAGAGGGAAGAGCCTTGCAGCTCCCTGGACCTGGAACTGATAATGGTGGGAGACTTTCCAGGCCTGGAGAACTGTTCCTTGGCTCGACTCTTCCTCAGGACACATTCGAAGCCAGCAATGTTGTACCTGTTAGGGAGGAAGAACTTTTCCTCTACCCTCTGATGCTCGGCGACTGGGGTCTGCAAATTAGACTGGCAAAAGGCAGATTAACAGAAAAAGAAAAAACTTATAAATTGTATTTGATGTTACTATTTTAACAGAAGGATAAGAGAATCAAAACCAGAGTCCAGGAGGGCAGGTGCCATAAAGGATGGAGAACAGGAAGGGGCGCGCCACTGGAGACACCGGAAAGCCCAGGGAGAAACTTTCCCGGGAATCAGGGCCAAGGCCGGCACGCTCTCTAGGAGAGAGATGAGTCACAGGGGGTGGGTACTTCCTGCGGAGGGGCGTGGCAGGGCCAATCCATGCTGTCTTCCCTGAGTGTTCCCTGGAGTGGCCACTCGCCACTCCTCCTCATGCCTGTTGATACTGTCCGCCCCGTGGCCCCTGATCCCCTGGGACCCA